GCTGGATGGAAAAATCCTCTAAATCCAATGATTTTCCCATGGTGATTTAGTGGAGTTCTCAGCCATGGAAGGGTATTTAAAAAAACTTCCAAACAGATGTTTTAAAATCACTTCAAATAACTCTCTATTTTTGATCCGGATTTTTGTCAATTTCTATCATCATTTTGGGGATTGTCCCAGGTGGTCTTCGATGGATTTCGCCAGGTTGGATGGCGGCGGGCTCCCCACCGCTCGCTCTGTGGCTGCGCGCATCTGCCTGGTGTCACACGGCGCGTTTAAACGGCGGCGGGGTCGACCCATGTTTCGGTCCGAAACGTGTCAAAAATATGGAAAGGTCTACAGGAAACCCTGGTTTCATTGGTGGAAATCAGCTGTGATGGGCTGTTTCACGCTGCCAGAACAACCGTGACACGCAAAAAAATCCTGAAACAAGTTGATAGTTGGGGAGGACTTGTGCTGTTGTTACTTAATAAATACTGAATAGCCCCCATGAAAGGCCAAAGATTGAGTTTTGCTGAACTACCCATCCAAAGTTTTCTGGTAGTAATCCCCTTACACCTGCCATGGTCAAAACCTGTGAGAATTGCTCATATTTGGGGGATGGCACCAATTCATTAACAGGGATTTATATATAGAGCGGCCGTCAGTACAGTAAGCGGCCTTTATGTTTCTGTTTCTCTATCTATATTATATATATATTATTCACTACAAGGATTCCCTTTATGGGATTGATGACCATGGCACATACACCTTTTCTTGCCCATGGCACACATGTGTATTTCTCACCATCTGGGTGCCACTAGTGTGCCCAAAAAAAAATGTCCAACAACTTTATCATTTTCAGGTAGCCCGTTTCAGACAATTTTTGATGTTGGATCATCCAAATGACAAAAATAGTGTTTGGACAGGTTGAAACCACCCAGTGTCAGGACATGTCCTGTCCCAGGCACTTTCTCTCTCAAGAAAAAAGGATGAAATTCTTCAGAAAGCTGGAAACACACTGGAATGACGAATTGTTCACAACAAATGTTTAATTGGGGCTTGACCGACAACATGCGTATTGACATGAAACATCCCCTGGTAGAACTACATTGTCTTCGGGTACTGTAGCTCTTGCGAGTTCATTGCTGCATTAGATTTAGACACGCAGAATCTATGACGCATTAGACCTTCAGATGTTGCGCCAATAAATTCATTTTTACCGGAAAGCCGGAAATTTCTCAATCAGTTCATTCGCCCAGATTTCGTGCCCATGATTGTTGGTCTCCTTTTTGTGTCATGGTTTTCTCGCTGAAAACCAGTGTTACCTGCATCGAAACACACGTGTTTGGTTGTTAAACCAGACATTTCGACGTGGGCCACCTGTGAATCCTCGCTGTTCTGCTCAAAGTTCCCATGTTTAGTTCCTAAATCTTGATCGCAATATGCCAATTATATCCTCGTTCTTTTTAGTTCTTAAATTATGCTAAACCAATCTATACCCCATGTTTTGCTTTAAATCCAAGCTTTGAGCACATGAATCCCCATTTTTTCCTGGTGCAGTTGCTGAAATCCCAGCTTTTGATTGTCGATGGTATCCCATGAAAATACCATTTTTGCACGTTCAGTCCCCATTGTTGTTGGTTAAACAAACCACCATAAAGTCACCATAAATCAACCAAAGTCACCACCATAAATCCCATAAACCACCATGATCTTCCCATGAAATCAATGAAATCAGCAAAAAAAACTCCATCTGTTTCTCAGTGAAATCACTATAGAAATACCACCAGTTCTTGGTGAAACCACCATTTTTAGTCACCAGAAATCCGTATTAAATCACCGTGAATTAAGATCTTTAAATCACAGGATGGGGCCCCCCAGTGGCTATGTTGGTTTATAAACCATTACATATAACCCCCATGAATACCCCCATTAACTAGTTCGTATTATATACTATAGTTACTAGTTCGTTATATCTAATGTCAACCCCGGACCTGGATTAATAAACCATGTTTTATTCATTATTGGGGATTCCCCTAATAGTCATGATTTGATACTTAAATGGTACCTTTCCAATAAAACGGCCTAGGGGTTTATTAATCCAGGGTTGACATTACCATAAACCATCGAATTGTAGTTCAGCCACCAAAATCTTCGGCGGGCAACTGAACGCTCCCGGAGGTCCTTCGGCGTCATCGCCATGGCGATGTTGGCCATGGCGCGGGCCGTGGATCGCTTTGCCAAGGACCAAATTGGGGAGAGGACGGAAAAACATGAGAAAAACGTAGGGGAAAACGTGGAAAATGTGGGGAAATCCAATGAAATCATGGGAAATGATGGGAAAATCATTCGAAAATCCAAGAAATCATGGGAAAAGATAGGAAAATCCCATGAAAATCTCCAGTAAAGGAAGGTTTCGAGCTGGAAAATCACCGATGTAATGATCTATAATTAGATTTTATGGGATTTAATATTGGTGAATCATCCCTGATTTTGGTCCCAATAATCATGTAAAAGCCAATCATAGGGGGGAAGTCTGGGACAATTGTGGGAAAATTTTGGGATGACTATGGTAAAACCATCCCGCTTATTACTAGGTTTAACACCTTAAATTTTATGCATTCTACTGACCTCACGTCATGATCATCCCCGACATTGCCCTTATTTCATCTGTTTTCATTCAGCCAAAAATAATTCGAGGGGTGACTATTAAAGTAGGTACGTACGACCAAAGAAGAATTGGTGTTAATAGCAATTTAAATCCATGTAATTAATAGTAATTAATCACTGATCTCTGGGACATATTTAGGATAGTTCGGGTTTCTTTCTTTGGAGTTGGACAACAATTGGATGGTTGTATGTAGTGGGGTATCGGTGATCTATGTTGGGATATAACTTACGGGGACATGGAGCTTTTATGGAATATACAGCAAAGAATGGTGGTGTGCCCAAGTCTTGGCAAAGCTGGCTGGACATGGAGGCAACAGTGAGGCGATAAACGAAGAAGCATACTTGTGAACAGCTCAAGCAAAACATGGCAAATGAGCAAAGGGTTCAACGCGCTTGGAAAGCCTTGAAATCAAAGTTCACCAGTGAAAGCCAGCCTCTTGGTACCAGAGTGAATACCAGAGTGAATACCAGAGTGAACACCAGCCATGCGCAGTGACATACACCAAGAACGGTGTCGCACTGGGCGTGGCCGCAAAACTCGAAGCAGCAACTCGCGGCACCCAAACAATTCACGTCACAAGGCACAAAGCTGCACATGTTTCTTCAAGATGGCCTGGGGGGTAAAGTTAACGATGGTCAATCATCAAATTTCTTGGATTAGGCCTGGGTTTTGGCGAGGTTCGCGGGATAAAGGTTGGTTGGGTCGGTTGATTTCCTTGCGTGTTCCCCATCGGCTGAAGGGAAACTCTGCCGGGAACCCTGTAGTTTTGGTGGTAAAAACCATGGTTTCCTGCAATTTTCCCTTGAAACCAACCATTGATTATTGGCCAGCTTAAGATGTTTGTTGCAAGGTATCTAAGATTGGCTATGTTCAATGGCACTATCCACTGCACTGCGAAGTATGGAAGCCTTCATATTCTTCAATGGCGCTATCCCCACGTTTGAGGATGAACGGAAACACGCCCAGAATATGACCAATGTGAATGTGGGATATATTCATGGGATATTGTAATATGGCATATAGATAGATCCTGAAAATATCAACCAACCCAAGAGAATTGAACCATCCCTGATGTTACACGAAATTATGGATACAAGCTCAATGACGCTTGGCAATTGCATGTTCTTGCCGCTGGGAGGGCGATCCCCATTGATAAGGAGAGGTTTAAACTACCAGCCAGACATGATGGGAAGTTGGCCCATCAGAATTTTAAGAATGTTCATATACCATGAAATGTGCATTTATCAGTGAAATTCAGTGAATGTTTCCGTATTGTTGCTTGATATTCCAGTTTTCGTTGGTTAGTTGCTTTCCATTTGATGGCCAGTTTCAGCATCGCACCTGGCCAAGGTCTTAAGATAGTAAGATCATTGATCCATTTGGGGATGGTTACCATGGCTCATCCCATCATATCCCATCATATGGTGATCTTCATGGGAATTCGTCATGGCAGTTTACCATCTGTGACTGGACCGGCAGGAAAGGGCCATTGTTCATCGAGAGCGGCTTTCGCGCTGCTACAGCGGCTTTGTTTACCTTTTGTCCAAGGCGACCTGCGACACCAAAACCATCCTTTTCTTGGAACAAAAAACCGAGAGATGTGGGACTTCCGAAGCGAGTTGGTCGGAAGAATGAATTGCATGAACTATGGAAAAGTCATTTGGGTTCCGACTGTTTGTGTCTAAATCTTCTTCGAAAGCCTTTTGAGTCTATTGATTATGGCCACTCAACCAACACCGAATCATCACCAGCTGAGCATATCTTGATGAACGTGACTGTTTGCAGCCAGCTCATGACCCATGTAACTGGAGTTTATCCCATCTGCTTTCCACACCCTATCAGGGACCAGCTGGGGATTCTCTATATATGCCATATATGCGATCAACTTCAATAGGTTGAGGCGCCCCACTGCCACAAACACTCCAGAAAAAAAACACCACAGCCTTCACAGCAATGACACAATTATACGCAGGCAAAATTTAAAAGAAAAAAAGCAACTGTAATCAAATATTTTTCAAAGTTCTTGCCGTGGTGTGACAGTCAAGTCATCTCAATGGAGAAGTCATTTGCAGACCTGGTGATTTTCCAATTTTCCATTGTTTTTTTTGAGATGATCAGGCCAAAAATGCCCATAGATTTCAGAGACCGAAACCCCTCGAGTTGTCCATTTGTTCAAGTTCTCGTGTCCCTGCCATGGGCGTGGCTGGCTTCAAGCTTTCGTCGTGGTTCCTTTGCAGCCTGACGGTTGATGCGTTCAAACTCTTGGACGTGGGACCACCCCGAACAGGGACGCAGACCATGCTCGAAGTCATGAAGATACTGGGTTTGAAGCCGCTGCACACTGGGTATGAGAAAGAATCGGTGCGTCCTGCATTGTGTGGGCATCTTTTCGCAAAATTTTTGGAGAGAGGACATTTGCCAGTGACAACCCAGTAGAATCAATCAAATCAATCAATATGTTGTGGCCGCAACGATGAAATCATGGTGTACTAACAAGTGAAACAAGTGGTTTACAGCTTCAAGTAATCCAGGGGGTCCGTAAAATGGCAATGTTTTTTTCCTTCGTTCTGACCTTCCGAGTTCCACGGATATATGACGGGTACTGGTTAAGTCGCTTCCAAAAGTACCCCTCATAGAAAAAACAAAACGCATTTGAGGAAACAGGTGTTGAAAATAGGATATCATTTCTTCGTTGCGCTTCAAAACCAAAATGAAAACAAACTGAATACGAAGAATGGCAAGGTTCTGTTTTCAATTTCGCATCCTCGAAAATGGAATGAGAACACAAATTGTTCTGCCTTTTGTCCAGTGATGACCCGCCCCCCAACCAGGTATCTCTTTGGAAATGGTTCCTTGGATGATGCTTTGGCGGTCTTTGATGGTTATGATGCCGCCATGGATAATGTACGAGGAGATAATGGCAGCATTTCCTGAAGCAAAGTTTCTGCTCACCATCTCTGATGCAGAGAGCTGGTTCGAAAACTTTTTCGAAATTGCAAGGGTGCTCAGAGCTAGTCATAGAAATGATACTTTGTCCTGTGCATTTTGGGACAGTCTGCCTAGAAATTGCACAAAAATGGGATCCTGGGGCTGCAATTTTGAGAGTCCCAGTCCAGAAAACAAGGACACTTGCTTGAAAAACTATTACCGCCACATCCAGCGAGTGCAAGATGTTATCCCACCTGAGCGCTTGCTGGTGTACAACTGGTCTGACGGTTGGTCCCCGCTTTCATTTCTTGGGGACCTGCATTCCTGAAGAACCGTTCCCCCGTGAAGATTCCGTCAAACGGAGGGCAGAGAGCCGGATCGCAGAAAAGCTGAAAGCGTGACCTGTTGGGCCCTGGGTGCCTCGCGCTCGCGGACTTTTGGTGCAAAAACATGAAATTCAACCAGCCCAATGTTAGGTAAAATCCCCAATTTCCTAGGGTGTAGCTCCAAAGGAAACCTCCATTTTCCCCCAGGTTTCATCATTTCCTCATTCTTTTCCCAAGTTTTCTTCACCGTGTTCCCGAAAAAAACATCGGGCCTTCGTAGGCCGTCACGGAACTGCCCCTCGATGCGCTGGCAGCGGCACTGTTCGCAGCCATCCTGCATCATGTTTGCGGCATGCACGCGAGGCCATGGTAAATGCTGGTGGGATACTTTAGTCCAACTCACCCTAGGGGCAACAAACATTGATGTGGAAAACCTATGGTTTCCCTAGGAAAATGATCTGTGTTAGTTTACACAAGGGCACTTGGTGGGTGGAGTTGAGTTCATAAATGGATATAATTTTGGCAGTGGACGTCATAAGTTTGGATATAATCACTATAACTATGGTTATGCATCCCACTTACAACTAGTACTGCGTCCCAGAGTCTGCATGTGTCTGATAATTTAGGGAAGCTCCTAAATATATTGGTTAATCATCATGAATTGCCATAGAAGGGGGTTGCTGGCTGGTTTCGTACCGTTTATGTTACAATGTTCAACCATGTGGTTTGAGAGAATCCGTAATGACTACCATTTGCGAAAGGGGCTGGAACCGTCAACCAGTTGTGTTTTTGCTAAACCTAGGAAGCTGAGACCGGACATGTGGTGAGATGGCGGGGAAGGAATTTGGAGAATGGTTTCAACAATATGTTCTTGGAATATATTCTAGTTTTCAACTGGAATTTGTTGGTTAGTACATGCAAATAGTTTCTCACAGTTTGAATAATCGAAGGAAGTTTAGAAGTGAAACTTCCGACAATATGGACAGTTGAAAAGCAGAGGTGAGAAGAGTCAGAAGAGACAAGATCAGAAGAAAGAAGAGGTAGATGCGCGAAAAGATAGGAAAGTCGCGATTCACTGTGTTTTTTCAATGATTTGTGGCTCCGGAGGGTCGAAAAGTAGGCTCGCTAAAGCGGCGGGTGCGGAGCCAGCTGGCCAGATGAGACATGAAAAAGTGCACGCCGTTGTGGCGCGAAGCACATTTCCAAGTCAAAATGGACAAAACACTAGAGGAGCGGACCACTTTTGGAAGTTGCGATGTCGAAAAAGTGCACGCCGTTGTGGCGCGAAGCACATTTTGACGTCAAAATGTACAAAACACACAACAATGTCGGACCACTTTTGGAAGTTCCGATGTCGAAAAAGTGCACGCCGTTGTGGCGCGAAGCACATTTTGAAGTCAAAATGTACAAAACACACCAATGTCGGACCACTTTTGGAAGTTCCGATGTCGAAAAAGTGCACGCCGTTGTGGCGCGAAGCACATTTCCAAGTCAAAAGTGTTAAAACTGACGGTCTCGGACCACTTTTGGAGGTTCAGATGTCGAAAAAGTGTCGAAAAAGTGCACGCCGTTGTGGCGCGAAGCACATTTCGAAGTCAAAAGTGTAAAAACTGAGGGTTTTGAGCCTTTTTTGACGTGAAGATGTCGAAAAAGTAGACACTGATTAACTTAACTAACTTGACTAACTTAACTAACTTCACTAACTTAACTACCCTAACTTCGACGACAACAGCAACAACAACAACAACAGCAGCAGCAACAGCAACAGCAACAACTACAACTACAACTACAACTACAACTACAGCAACAACTACAACTACAACAACAACAACAATAACTACTACAACAACAACTACTACTACTACTTCAACTACAACTACAACTACAACTACAACTGAAACTGCAACTGCAACTGCAACTACAACTACAACCACACAACAACTACAACTAGAACTACAACTACAACAACAAAACAACTACAGCTACAACCATATGACTGCAACTACACTACACTAATTACATTACACCACAACTACAACTCCACTACGCTACAGCTACAACTACAGTTGCAGTACATCACACTACATCCAGCAGTTGTGGGTGAGGTGACCACTGCAACCATTGCAACCATTCCAGCAAACACAGCTCCAACCACCTTTCGGTCAATCAGTGGCTTCGCTCTGCCATCCCTGATTCACAACAACCAACTTCTCCTATAGGTTTCCTATTTTTGAAACTTCCGCCACCGCCTTGTGCGGTACTACTGGTATAATTTATATATATTTGGTAAGTAGTGGTTGTAGTGTGGGGCTACAATTGGTAGTGGGTTAGTAGCAACTTACATTGAATGGTTGCCTCATGAATGCTACCATACACAATTGGTAGTGGGTTACCATTCAATACCTGCCACATTCATGGTGGAAAATCCTCATGAAAAAAATCATCCCATCACCCTAACATTAAACAGCCCATTTCTATGGTCCCAATAAATTGTGGACATCCCCCTACTAAACCAGGGATTAGTTTATCATTTGTCCTTTTTGTCTCCACAGATTGAGGTATACCAAGTCTTCAAGACAAACCAAAAAACAACTGGAGACCTGTGCCGGTCTCCAAAGGGGTTCGACAGGGCTGCAAAGCAGCTCCATGGCTGTGGAATGCTGTGATGACTCTCCTACAGGATCTGTCACTTGAGGTTGATGCTGAATGGATTAAACAACATGCAAACATCTATGCAGATGACTGCCAAGTGGGGGGCCACATTCTACAGTGAAGAGAAAGAACTACAGCACATCCTGCGTTGGAAAACTGTGGTCGCCCTACGACCCGGTCCTCTGGGTTGATCATCAGAGGTACAATGAATCCTTCATCACAAGCGGTTTTTTCAAATATAACGACATATCTGGGTACGATTTATCACCCATGTTTACCCCTGTTTACCCGTATAGATAGATAGTATGAAGCAATATTACTATATGATTCATATCTTCTATATATGGGTCATTACCCAGCTTTAATCAAAAGATTGGTAAGATATATTGTATATTACCCATTGAAATATACTATTTATAGGTAGCATATGAAAATCGATAGCATTTCAACCCAGATACCGATATCATTTTCAGTGGTTGGTTAATATCCATGATATTATATATCCTTATGGTATCACCATTGTATGATAGGTAGATCCAATATTATAGATCCATATACGTTTTTTAGATCCACATATTGCATAACCCAATATTGATAGATCATAACCCGTATCATATTATCTATGTCATATCAACCAATGTATAGATCTATGATATATACCAATCAACCACTAGATCCATTTTTATCATCACCATATTGATAGTTGACATATATCATCATGTATTTTTAGATCATATCCACCAAACAATGTATTGTATCATATATAATCTATTTATTGGAATATATTATCTATATCATCTATGACATTGATATAGATATATATATATATATACATATATACATAGATCAGATCAGATATCAACCAATTTTTCTAGGTCACTCCCCAAGCATTTCCTCAGGCGTGAGGAGGTAGTGATGGCCTTCTCCCTGGTGGCGGCCCGGGAGCTCAACGATGGAGAGGTTTTAAGGATTATCTTCCCATGGTAAAATCTGGAAAATGTGAAGAAAATCTGGAAAAAAATCTGGAAAATGTGTAGAAAAATCGTTGAAAATCAAGATTTTCGCCGTGAAACTGTGGGGTGACCAGTGAAGATGTGGATTTCAGGGATGGAAATTGATAGTCCACGGATTTTGTTGGCATTACCAAATCAGTTTATATCAATGTCAAGTGACTACTGGAACCACAGGTCTTCCCATCCTCAAGACATGGAGGGTCACCTGGGGCGATCCGAACATCGAAATCTAGGCAACGAAGAACACATGGTATCATGCATGCTCCCCAACAGCCAAACAAATACAGCCCTGGATTTTGTTGAGAAAATGCCTTTAGATCTTCCAAGTTTCAAGATTGATGGAGATCCGCGGTGTCACCGAAGAGTTGACATCGAAGTGAACCTTCCATGTTCGGGCCCCTTCACTAAACAAATGGAGATTCAGGGGTCCGCAATCCCCAGCAAATCGTGATGCCATGATTGTTTACTAATTGCTAACATGGTACCTGGAATCTCTCAGACTACAAATGAAAATACTTGTAGCATCAATAGATAGTACATGATGGTATCAAATCTAGATATTGGTATTATCTCTTGATGATATCTCCTATGAATATCAATCAAAAGTTCCATGGTCATTTTGACACTTGCTTGCCATTTGTTTGATCTACATGAATTTAGGCAACGTGCTTATCAAGGGAAGTTTAGAAATCTAAACTCCGTTATTCAGAGAAAAAAAAGTCAAGATGAAAATCAATCACAACATCACCACGTCACCACATCACCAGTTGTTTTCCGACGCCGGACCAAAAGGACAGGTCTTTGCATGTGGCAGTGACGCAAATTTTTGCCAGAGAATGGATTCATCAGGCGGCACTCTGATGTGGATGACAGATGAGAGCGTCAGCTGTCTCGATTGTGATTTTCTTACTGCCCAAGGACGCTGGAAAAGTTGATGTGCAAAGCATCCTAAGTTGCCAGAATGGTGGCGCGTATGGGCCGAAAAGCATCAAGAGCAAGGATCTCAAGTAGTGAAACTGCACTGACGTATGAACAGAAGAGCAACTGTCTAGACACGCTGTCACCACATCACCTCATCACCATGTCACCACCTCACCACGTCACCACATCACAGTCAGATTGCTTCGTCAAGGTGATGCTGTTGAGGATGAATTCACGCGAAGCCCGTGTGTTTGTTTTTCGCTAATCAAGTGCTGATGCAGGAGGAACTTCAGATTCCAGTACCAGATATCTATATATATATAACATTATAGAACCTTATTGTCCATTCATAGGCATATATAACCATACATATATATATAAATATGTATATAACCATATATTTATATGATTCCAGC